AAGAGCACGCCCGTCCAAGCCATGAGCAGCCAGTTTCTCCAGGAGAATGCTGTGGGAAACGGTGTCAAAGGCTGTACTGAAGCCTAGGTAGATAACATCCACAGCCTTTCCCTCATCCACTAAGCGGGTCACCTTGTCATAGAAGGAGATCAGGTTAGTCCAACAAGACCTACCTTTCATAAACCCATGCTGACTGGGCCTGATCGCCTGGTTGTCCTCTACGTGCCGTGTGATGGCACTCAGGATGATCTGCTCCATATCATTCCTCGGCACCGAGGTCAGACTGACAGGCCTGTAGTTCTCCGGATCCTCCTTCCAGCCCTTCTTGTAGATGGGTGTCCATTTGCTAAACCTCCAGTCAACTGGGACCTCGGCCCATCGATCCAGCCTGTCCAGGTCCCTCTGCAGAGCCTTCCAACCCTCGAGCAGATCAACACTCCCGCCCAACTTGGTGTTGTCTGCAGACTGACTGAGGGTGCACTCGATCCCCTTGTCCAGACCATTGATAAAGATATTAAACAGAACTGGCCCCAATACTGAGCCCTGGGGAACACCACTTGTGACCGGCTGCCAACTGGATGTAACTCCATTCACCATAACTCTTTGGGCTCGGCCATCCAGACAGTTTTTTACCCAGTGAAGCATACGCCCGTCCAAGCCATGAGCAGCCAGTTTCTCCAGGAGAATGCTGTGGGAAACGGTGTCAAAGGCTGTACTGAAGCCTAGGTAGATAACATCCACAGCCTTTCCCTCATCCACTAAGCGGGTCACCTTGTCATAGAAGGAGATCAGGTTAGTCCAACAAGACCTACCTTTCATAAACCCATGCTGACTGGGCCTGATCGCCTGGTTGTCCTCTACGTGCCGTGTGATGGCACTCAGGATGATCTGCTCCATATCATTCCTCGGCACCGAGGTCAGACTGACAGGCCTGTAGTTCTCCGGATCCTCCTTCCAGCCCTTCTTGTAGATGGGTGTCACATTTGCTAACCTCCAGTCAACTGGGACCTCCCTGGTTAGCCAGGACTGCTGATAAATGATTGAAAGTGGCTTGGTGAGCACTTCCGCTAGCTCCTTCGGTACCCATGGGTGGATCCCATCCGTCCCCATAGACTTCTGTGGAGCTGTAGCTGTAAAGCCTATGCTGCTGTCGCCCATTTCATAGATGTGGAACTGTGGCACACACCTGCCTCACTTCAACCTCATTTGCTGGCATGTGTTGTGCTAAAGGTGCTCAGAAAGGCAGGTCACCAGAATTTTGGAAGCTCAGAAGCTGCTTTTTTTAAAATTTTCTGCCTAAAGTTGGTTTGTGATAGACAAACAGTGTACAAAACTTAAATAGCTTGTGTCTGGCAATACTAAAACAGACTGAATACAAACAGTAGGGTAGCCAGAATGGGCAGTATTACTAGCTTCGCTGATAGTCATTTTCGTCTACCTTTTTCTACAGGGGTGACAAGAAGGTGATATGCAACAAGTTCATCCAAACGGTGAGACCCAGACTCCTGTTTAACTCAATTTTCTCCAGCATATGTTGGATAAAGACAATTAGATGTCTCTCTGCTCATACTCACAGGTATACTTGGCCAAACTATCAGTGGTACTTGATCTCCAAAAGGTAGATCGTAAGATAATCTCT